CCCCAAAACCCCAAAACCCCAAAACCCCAAAACCCCTAATAAATAAAATCTGATAGAAAGAAGGATTAGTTACTTCGAAGATTATTATGGCGACACATGCCACAGCCCATTGCATATTCAGTACCATTACATGGATGCTCCATTAGAATTTTACATTCTGGAGGGCCTGGACATTTTTTAGTGTTTCGATTACCAGTTGAATGACATGGCTCACAGAAGTGAGTGTTTCCACCGCAAAACCATCTTGAATAATTACAGCAGTATCTACATTTCCATTCAATAAACTCACTCCCGTGGATGTCGCAATTGGCTTTTCCAGCAAAGTCTTCCATTCTTCACTCCCCACATACATAATCTTCAGGCTTGTAATCTTCAGGGTTTTCAAGGGCATTTCCACATTCTCGCATTCCTCCGTAGTAAATATGTTGGCACCTAAATCAAATGTAGTAAGCCAATCGGTCAAGGCAGTACTCTTCGTAGTTCTCAAAGTAATCGTCTTGCTCATCTCTGAGCCTTTCGTCTTTGTCAAGACCCTCAAGCTTTCCTCGCTCGACTGCCTTTGCCCTGACTTGTGCTTCAAGTTCGTTGGCTTCATCTAGGAGTCTCTGGAGCTTCTTGTTGGAACTCCCTTGAATATCAGCCTTACAAGCAGGACACTTCTTGTATGCAAAGTGGATCCTTGGCCCGAACCACTTCATCTCCATTTTTGTGATCATGCAGTCTATGTGGAAGATGTGCTTGCATTCTAGCTGAACACAAGGCTGAGAGCCGAGTGTATCGCTGAAGCAGATCATACAGTTGGAATCTTTGGATTCACAGAGAGTTTTAGACTCATCTTCTTTAACTCATTCTGGCTCTAAAAAAGAATTTATTTTGGAATTTTATTCATAAGTATAATAGTTTAAAAAACTTACCTAAGCAAGGAAGGCATTCTTTCTCTTTGCGAGTTCCATTGCAAATATGCCCTCATTCCAGGACTTCTGGGCAAGCTTGCTTGGCTATCTTCCTTCATTCTAAGTTGCTTCAGACGAATTGGAGAATGCCTCTCTTCCTCTTCTTCTTGATGGCCACTCTTCAGTATCTTCACTTGTCCGACTCCACGTGTTCTCTGTGTTGTGGACAAGTGAATCCGAAGTGATAGGGGGTCACCATGCATTTGGCACAAAAGTCGTCCTTACAAGCTTTGCACTTGGTCTTGTACATGGCGAGGTGCTCAGCTGCCTCAGGAGATATAATCTTTCCTTGATCATCACTTGCATCATATTTTGTCTTATGCTTTACAATCTTTATTTCTTCTCCACATCTGCAATGGACAAAACCTTCTTTCTGGTCATCAGAATTGCTTTGAATTTCAGACAGAATTTCTTCAAACTCATCACCTAATATAACCTCAATTTCGTCTTCATGGATTATTCTAGAGCATTTAGGTCAACTTGCAAATTCATTAACAGAGTATTCAACCTTAATTATCTCCTTGAATCAGTCTTCGCAAATGAAATGAGATCAAGACCTGAGACAGTAGTACTTATCGTCTTGATCTTCAAGCTCTTTGTCTCATTTACAACATTTAAAATCTTTTATTTTAACCTAAAAGAGTTATCTGTGGTTCATACAGTTACCAAACTTGAGTCCATAGCCCTGACCCACTAAAATTCCCAATTTCTGCACCTACCATCAAATCGCCAGTCATTGGTTTAATCTTCCTTCCCTGAAAACTCATAGAATCCTACACAACAATTTCACTCATATTCACCTCAAACTGCTCCAAAATCACATAAAAGACATACTAAGCAAACTATATCTCAAACTAAGCTCATTCTAAGGGCCTAAAACAGCCCCTTATGCTTCTCAACTACGTTTACCCCTCTTCCACCAACAAGAATCTTCTTGGACAATGATTTCATTATAATTTAATATATAAATAGCAAAACCTCTCTTCTGATATGGGGTTTTGGGGTTTTGGGGTTTTGGGGTTTTGGGGTTTTGGGGTTTTGGGG